CAGAAACTTCATACTTTTTATGGTGAAATTGTGCTGTAGTTATTAGGACTATACATTTATTTTTCCTCTTTTTATTACAAATTGGAAGCAGCCTCTTGTATCTTGAGTACATTAGTCTGCTGTAGGTAATATGCAGTGAACAATGCTTATATGTTGATAAGTAGATATACTGTATCATCCCCTGAGTCATTGTAAGCAAGAGCAAGCACTGCTGTATATGTGGTTTTGAATGTTAGCTATGAATATTTTTGGTTATACAGTAGTGAATTAAATATAGAATATCATATATTTTGATGATTATATACTTTGAAGATTGGCAAGATATTTGAATATACAGCTATTGATTAATACAGCATTACGAGCTTGCTCAAGTTATATATACATGTTACTATTACATACAGTATTTTTTGTATGTGTGTATTGTGTTTTCCTTGTGTTAACTAAAGTTGAACTGGAATTGCCTCAGAGGGGCTCTCTCTTATGAAGGTAGTTAGTTGAGGGAGAGAGAGAGAGAGAATGTTTTTTTTTTTTTTTTTTTTTTTTTTTGTGTGTGTGTGTGTGTGTGTGTGTGTGTGTGTGTGTGTGTGTGTGTGTGTGTGTGTGTGTGTGTGTGTGTGAAAGTGTTTGAGAGATGTACATTTTCCTTTTTTTCTTTTTTTGTTTCTTGTTCTCTTTTCATGGATGAATGTGTATTCATAGGAACATATTTATTATTTGCCATATATTCAACATTATTTTATACCGTTTCTATGAAATAGCTAAGATACTAATCAGTTTTACTATTGACAGGAGGTTTGTATGGAGGAGTAGCGACCCCTCTAGCCATGGTACCCCCCCAGATCCCTCCTCATGGCCGCAGTCTATCTCAGGGTCTAACAGGCCAGGGAGGACAAGGGCAATCTGGGGGGACACCAAGATCACGACGCAACCGTGATTCCTTCTGTGACGACAACCAGGTTGTAAACATGAACATGAGCCAGTGTGTAAGCAAGATGGGTGGTCGGCAGCCTTCTGGGGAATGCCAGAGGTGTGAAGAAGAACCATTGTTAGATAAAGTTCCTCCAGCACCTCTCAGTGCTCACGTGTTGCCTCCAAGATTTTCAGTAGCACAAATGCGGGCGTGTAACAAATCACAGACACCAACAAGGGCTGCCATGCAACAAATGAAACCACAGAATCAAATTCCAACAACCAAGACATACTCTCAGTCCCGTCCCCGCACATACAGACCAGATGAATATAACCTTCCTCAGAACTCATATGTCCCAACGTGGGCTCGCTCACAGAGTGGTGGACGACCCAGTGCCAGTGGGGGAAAGAAGTCATCTGGACGTAGTCGGACATCACCCAGAAAGGAAAATGATGATGGACAGATGCGACCATTAGATGCAGGAAGAACTGCTCTTAGTGGAGGACTTGTTTTGCCTCCTATGCCAAGACACCACCATGTGGAGGAAGCAGGCGTGCGCCATAAGTTACGATCATTTACACGACACTATAGTGATGATAGCTTACATGGCTCCTCACATAGAGATCTACAGTCTACTAGAATCCATTCTTCAGCTGATGAAATTAGCTCCCTTAATCGATCTCCAAGTCTCAGTTCCTCTGATGAAAGTTTCTCAAGAACAGATTTTTCACGCACTGATGCCGATTCACCATCTCCTCAACATGCCCCCTCTCTCAGTGATGAACGTTTCAAGTACATGTTTGGAGGCATGAATCTAGAGGGAGCAATGGCACCAGGATTTAGAGAACTCTCTCCACAAATTTATTCTGATTATTTATCTAGTGTGAAAGCATCCAGTGATGAGAGCTCTTTACGGTTAAATAGTCTGTCACGTGACTCGACAACATATTCTTACCCAAATGTGCCAGGACTTTGGAGAGAAACAGACATAGCCAGTCCTACCCATGATGAGAGGATGCGAAGAGATGACCTAGTGATACCTAAATTAACTGCTGAATTTTCGAGTGACAAGATGAAACGTAGTAAACATGGTGATAAAGCTGATGTGGAGGTTCCGTCCCATGTTGATAATTGTGTGAGTCACAGTGCCTCACCATCCAGTGAGAAAGTAAGGCCAGGGTGTAGACTGAGCTATGTAGACTGTGATATAAACTCTCCATCAAGAACTAGTGCCTCTGGCAGCACAAGTCGCATGAGAAGTTTAGAGAAGAGTCCAAGAGAAAGCACAGCCATGACCCCCGACAGTGTTATTATGGTGCCAAAGAAGCGATCTCTTTCGAGAGAAGAAGGCATGAAAATAGGAAACCATGTTAGTACAGAACATGACATATTCAGAAAACGTAGTACAGAGCGACCAAAACGAGATGGAGAATGCCAGACTGACCCGAGAACACATCATCATAAGAACAGTGCCACAGGAGTTAAAACAGGAGACAGAAACAAGCCAGAGCGGAAAATTGAAAAATCTGCAACATTTGAAGGAATACCAGAAGATCCAAAATCTACACACCGTGACGGCAGTGAAGGAAG